TGTTCGGGGACTGTTAGTTTCGCGAAAGTGGTGAGGTGGAGAGGGGAATATTGAAGAAGAAAGGTAAGACTGGGTATGTATTAGGTGGTGCCGGGTGCACTGAAATTCTCCTATTCTTCAGTGAAGGTTATCCGTTCAATTATGCCACTGGTACAAAAGTGTGTTTAACAAAATGATGTGACAAGATTTAGGTCATTAATTTCAAAAATTATTTTTTAAATTATTGGTCAAGATATTGCCAACACGTATTTTGTAAACCAATTTTATAACCAAACTTTGTACAAGTAGCATGGCTCTAACCTCGTTTAATCTATGTTTGAGAAATGTTTATCTTAAATCATAAACAAAGATAAATGGATAGTATTTTTTAAAAATATTTGAATAAAAAATGACTTGAATATTTATAAATACCTCATAAATATGAGCTAAACATAGATTTTTTCTCGGTTTATCTACCAAATTACCAAGTGTTTGTCATGAGTAATCTCATTTTACGAATAAGTTATTTGCTTGTTTTCATAATTTTATTTTGTAAAAATGTCCAACGGTGGTGGAACAATTTTTCAAATCAAGCTTTCAAGGTATTGAATTCTTTATATACATAATAAAATATTAATAGAATGATTTGTGTCGTATAAACGAAAACATAACAACTCAATATATCAGTCGTTATATATGGTTTATTAACACATTGTTCTATGAGCTAAATTGGTTGGGCACCTTTCGTCTGAGAATGAAGAGGCAATAATACTTATAGAGGCCTTGTAGTTCACTCACACGTGAGGAGTTCGTTAACGAGATTTCTGAGTGCATTGCATTACATTTCCTGCAGGTCAATCGTCAAGATTACTTGCATCAAATGTTTTAAATTATTTTAGAGATTGTTTCGCTTCGAGGTCATTGTTGTAGAACTTGTAACTTAGCTTCATGTAAACTACCATTTTATCTACAAAAATGTATTTGATAGTTCAGAGTATATTCACTTTTTTATACCATTCGGTTCTCAGTGATAATCTTTAATAATATTGTTGTTCAAAAAGGATAATTCTGTGATATATATGCAATAGTTCTCTCTTTGATTACCTAAAGAGCCAATTCAAGATCTAGACGTTATAAATCCTTATTTCTATATTTTCCTCTTTTATCCCATACTCTCTCAAGGATTTATTTTCTTAAAATGGTAAGGGTAAATTTGGATTTTTAAACTATGGAACAGGTGTCGGTGCCTGAACGAAGTGATTACGTGGACGACCCTGTAGATGAAAACGCTCTCTCTGGCCAAACGACCGCGAACTCCTGTCAGATAAGGAAAGCTCTATCCATTTCAATTTTCAAGAGACACGTACACGTATATTCCTTACAGTAAGTCACCGCCTGTAAAATTATCAATACCACACGAGCCGTGGAAAATCGAATAAAATCCTAGGGTTTCTACGATCCCCAAATTTCCCAATCAAATCCGGTCTTTCTCGATTGTTAATTTTTCTTCCATAATATGCCTCAAAGACACTCGAAGAACAACAATGATTTAGCGTTCTTCACGTACGATGAGAAGAAGAAACTCGGGTATGGTACTCAGAAAGAAAGACTCGGCAAGGACTCGATAAAACCATTCGATGCTTGCAGTCTGTGCTTGAAGCCATTTATTGATCCCTTGTCTTGCCAAAAAGGCCACGTCTTCTGCAAAGAATGCATTCTCGAATGTCTTTTGGCCCAAAAGAAAGATATTCAAAGGTCCTGATTGTTTTTGTTTTTATCTCGTGTAGATTTGATTTCTCGATTTTTATTTTTATTTTTGTTGCGTAATTTCTGCTGTCAAAATATCATATCAATTTGGTTATCACGCGAAGAATAAGATCCGTATGAACTTATAAATTGGTCAAGAAAAATCAGTGGTTCTATTAATTAAATGATTCATTTAATTTGGTCTTGGATTTATGCATCGAGACTACTGGGAAAGGTCTATGTGAAGAACTGTGAAGGATTTTGTGAACTCTGGGATGTATTGAGTTTAAGAGGTCTTAGAAGCTTAATTGAATGTGGGGTTTTTGAATTGGAAGTCTTTCAGTTGAGAGCAGACTCTGATTCGTTCCATTAATTGGGAATGTCTTAGGAAGAGTGGATTCAACGAAGTACCACAGAAACTGGATGGTGCCGTTTAGCAAGAGTGAAACAACTTCCGTTTTTAACTGAAATGATGGCACTTCGTATGCTCTGTTTTTGAGTTACCTATAGTAGATACAACAAAGCACGTTGTTCTGTAAAACATCATTATGTGGTTTCTGGAGAAACCATAAATCTATTACCACTGTCTTGTAATAGGAGTAAAATGCAATGGATGCAACCACATTATTATCGTATGCTGTTCCGTGCATAATATGCAAAGAGTAGGTCCATACCCAAGAAACCTTCTTGACATTCTATGCTAGGACCTAACTTATTATGGCCCCGATGTCATATTGTCATTAGACCTAAAAACTCTGTTGGTATCTCAAGTTTAGGTTTTTTTGTCATTTTTTTAATTAAGGGAAAATTTTTTGAATGGTTCTGAATCGCATTGTATTTCTTAAGAGGAAACTTTGTCTTGGATGCTTTATTTGCATGTTTTCATAGGGTGTATGATAGAACTTACAATTATTTTCTTTTCATGTGTTTTGGATCTTACTTGAAATAACTTTAGATTGTGTGGCCATATTATTGTTCCTCTTTTATAAACTTCCATAAGTTCTCTTTAGGTGCTTGGTTCCCCTTCCACATGATATGTGGCAGCTTGGTGAATCCAGTAACTAAATAGTATGTCCAAATGAATTTACTGTCTTTGTAGTTTGTGCCCACTTGTTTTCCAAGTCACCGGAGAAATAAATTTGGGAGGGCTACTTGTAATAAATCATATTTCCTCTTTTTCAGCTGTATTCTGTTGGGAGACTTTAAGTGACTTTTCTATTAATAATGTCTTTAATGAGTTTTAGTGAACATAAACCTCATTTAGTTTATCTATATATCTTGATGTTGTACTAAAGTGTGTGAGGCATTTACCTGCAGAAAGATAGCAGCCCATGCTGCTCAGCAGAAGCAGGAAAAAGAAGAGGAAGAAGAGAAGTTGATGTTGGAGAAAGCCCGAGATCTCGATGCATTTGATCAACAGAACCATGGGGCAGTACAACAGTACAATGATAAGAACTTCAACAGGGACAAAAATGGTTTCCATGGGGCTAACAGTGTGAAGGCCACATCATATGAAGAAGAAGCACTCCGCACAATGAAAGCATTTTGGCTGCCATCTGCGACTCCAGAAGCTCCTGCAAAAGTAGAGGTCCCATCAACTGACACAATCTGTCCAGAAGGAAAAGAAAAACTCCGAATGAAGACACTTTTCCCTATCTACCTCACAGAAGATGCCAGCGCACAGAAGAAATCTAGTTCTCTTGATAAGAGCTACATCTGTCCTAGCTGCAAGGTCACACTTACAAATACACTGTCACTTGTAGCCTTGAGTTCTTGTGGTCATGTTTTTTGCAAGAAGTGCGCTGAGAAATTCATGGCTGTTGATAAGGTTTGCCTAGTCTGCGACAAGCCATGCAAGGAGAGGAATCTGGTCAAGTTGGAAAAGGGAGGAACTGGTTTTGCAGCCCATGGAGATCATCTTGAAGCAACTGACTTTAAGCATTTAGGAAGCGGTTCAGGGCTGGGGCTTGTAAGACCTGCAATGAAGACTTGATTTTGCAGCATAATTCAATTTCAATAGCATATATATTGCTCTTTAAATTCCTTTTGACATCAATACTTCCTATAATCTGTACTTGCATCTATGTTGGTTTATTAACTGTGATGTAGTAGTGTTTGAAATGCATCTATTTACGTATTCATTTCTCGACTTCATAAACTTCTCTCGTAAATATGCTGAGAACTCATCCATTTTGAGGCATGTAATGTTGGTAATTATAATGATTCAAACTGAGTAAAATCTTTGTTGAGTAATGCTATTCATGGAGGGTGACCTCCATCAGATAGATTGACGATGATCATCATTCTAGGTGGATAGCCCGCTTTATTTATCTTTGTTGCATATATGTTGTTGTATGGTTCCCTGAAATTACCCATTCAAATGATACGTTTCATTTAGTTTCTCTGACTTGTAATATTATGCTTCATGTTTAGCCTGCTCATGACATGTTTTTGAAAAGTGGATTTTAGATTACACTTTTGTATTCATGTAATCGAAACTGGCTTCGTCTTATTGCATCACCTATACTATAACTCCGAATCGAGTCCTTAAATACTAATTTGATCTATGAGCACTCTATTAGGACATTATTTTGACTACAAAAACCCTTTTGTGGATTAAGTTCTCACGTTAGTTTTGTAACTGACTAAACTCAGCAAGTTTAAGGACAGGCACTTTTGTAAATTTTGTGTGAATTTGTTAGAGAAAATGAGTGATTTGTGTGTATATTATCAATTAACACAACAAATTAAAAATACAAATATAAAGAAAGAGTTAGAAAGCAAGTTTTAAAAATCACGTCAAGGATGCTGTCCTAAAATTGTTTGGCCTCTCCTTTTTTGTCACTACGGAGCTCCAACATAAAATCCCTTGACCCTAGGAGATGAAGAATCAGACTTCTATCAAAATTATTGAGACATAGTATGAAAGTGTATGGAGAGTATTTTTCTAAATAGTGTTTTTTAAATTAAGTTTTCGAGTTGGACATTTCAATGAAAATCACTCGTTTTTATAAGGACAAATTCAACCTCTACAATCATGAATATTAAATCATTTAATTAAGGTTTTAAATTTTATTAATTCTGAAATTAAAAAACAAAAACTGAAAATTAAGGGCATGTTCTCTTTGTCATTTTCGAGTCGTTTTCTGTTTTCGATTTTTCAAAACGTTCAAAACGTATTCTCTTTCCTAGTTTCGAAAACGAGTTTTTGAAAACACAAAAAAAAAAAAAAAAAAAATTGCACTGAAAACACAAAATGATGTTTTTTTNTTGAAAACACAAAAAAAAATTGCACTGAAAACACAAAATGATGTTTTTCACGTTTTGGATGTTTTCTGTACAAAACTCGAAAAATCTTAAAAACACGCGAAACAAAGGGTACTGTTCCAAAAATGGCCGTTTCTTCCCACTATCCAAATCCTATCTCTTCTTCCGTCTTCTCTCTTCTCCATAAAAGAATAGCCGACGATCTCCTCTTCTCTGCAACCGGACGCTGCTGTTGGATCGGTGCCGGCGCCGAAGTGGGGAATGGGGAGGTGACGCTGCTCTTCCTTGGCCTTTATAGCCGTCCGAGTGGGGAGTTTTTCTCCAACAGGGCGCGATTCTTTTAGAGGCTACAAGGTTGGTTATGATTCAGATTTTATTGACTTCAAAGGGGATCAATTTGAACCCAATTACTTCACTTTACTATGTTGCTCCCAGTTGCTTGGGCTTNATTTTCGTAAACGTCCAAAATGCTTTCTCTTTCCTATTTTCAAAAACGAGTTTTTGAATACATAATAAAAAATTGCACTGAAAACACAAAATGATATTTTTTACGTTTTGGATGTTTTCTGTACAAAACTCGAAAAATCTTAAAAACACGCGAAACAAAGGGTACTGTTCCAAAAATGGCCGTTTCTTACCACTATCCAAATCCTATCTCTTCTTCCGTCTTCTCTCTTCTCCAGAAAAGAATAGCCGACGATCTCTTCTCTTCTCTGCAACCGGACGCTGCTGTTGGATCGGTGCCGGCGCCGAAGTGGGGAATGGGGAGGCGACGCTACTCTTCCTTGGCCTTTATAACCGTCCGAGTGGGGCGTTTTTCTCCAATAGGGCGCGATTCTTTTAGAGGCTACAAGGTTGGTTATGATTCAGATTTTATTGACTTCAAAGGGGATCAATTTGAACCCAATTACTTCACTTTACTATGTTGCTCCCAGTGGGCTTTCATTCCATTCCCTGGTTTATAGTGGAATACCCTGTGCTGAAGCCGAATTTGGGCTTTCATTTTGATTTCATTATTTTTGGGACGAATTCACTGTGTGCTTTTGCGTTGAACTTGGCTGTATTCTTGTTGGTTGGAAAGACTTCAGCTTTGACCATGAATGTGGCTGGAGTTGTGAAAGATTGGCTGCTGATTGCGTTTTCATGGTCAGTCATTAAGGATACTGTGACGCCTGTCAACTTGTTCGGGTACGGGTTGGCATTTTTAGGCGTTGCCTACTATAATCACTTGAAAGAAGCGCCGACAGCAGATGAGGAGGCTGGAAAATTGTTGGAAGAAATAGAAGAAGATTGAATGGAGCAGAAGGGAGATGCATAGGTGTAATT